TTGTCAGTCTGCTGTCAGTCTGCTGCCAGTCTGTTGTCAGTTTGTTGTCACTCTGTTGTAAGTCTGCTGTCAGTCTGTTGCCAGTCTTTTGTCACTCTGTTGTCACTCTGTTGTCACTCTGTTGTCAGTCTTTTGTCAGTCTGTTGTCAGTCTGCTGTCAGTCTGTTGTCACTGTTGTCACTCTTGTCAGTCTGTTGTCAGTCTGCTGTCAGTATGTTGTCAGTTTGTTGCCACTCTGTTGTCACTCTGTTGTCACTCTGTTGTAGGGCTTTAACAGACTACTCGAATAATCAACACATCGATTCCTTGGACATCTGTCGAGTTTTTAAATTTCATGTCAAGTATTCGTAATGTCGTCATTACGTCGCAGTTACGTCATTGCGTCACGTGTTACGTGATTCGCATTGGGCGCGGTCTACAAAATGGATTCCTTTAAGCAGACAGATGGAGCGGAGCAGGCCCAGTCTTGGCAAACAGGTAGAAATGCATCAATGTCTGGAAATATTTCACTAAAGATGAATCTTCCGGTTCAACTACCGTAAGGAAACAGAAAATTAATCAACTTCCTGACTGTTCGCGAGCTCGCGAACCGGTGTTGCACCATATTTAGTGACCACCGTATATTGTGACTGTAGGGGGCGGTGTTGCATGCACTGTTGCAGGTCACAGAATATTGTGTAACACCGGGTCTAATCGACCAAACCAGAACCAGCTTCCTCTGACCTTGTTTCACAAACAAAAAGCAAAAATAATAATTTCTAAACCTATAAAAAATTTATAAACATATTAATCTCTAAAACTAATGCGCACCACTGCAGGTGGTGATGCGGGGTGGTCGTCCACCCCACTGTTTTTAGTTTTTAGTTTTGTTTTTAACGTGCCGCACGTTTCTTTCACTTTTGCAGCTTAATAATAATAATAACTAATAGTTTTGGTTTTCCTGTGACTTATTTGCAGTATGCTAAATGATAGGGGCATAATATACGCTCCCAATATTTTGTTGGTCTTTTTTTTGTGTGTAAATAATAAATGACTTTTTTTGCGTTTTTATTCATTTATTTATTTTTGCATCTTGAGATCCTATGACGTCATCACCTACTTCACTTCTACTCAAGTTTTATTATGTTAATGTCGAGTTTAACAATTATGTAGTCGTTCTACCCCTACTCTGTTGTCACTCTCTTGTCAGTCTGTTGTCAGTCTGTTGTCAGTCTGTTGTCAGTCTGTTGTCACTCTCTTGTCAGTCTGTTTTCACTCTCTTGTCAGTCTGTTGTCACTGTTGTCAGTCTACTGTCAGTTTGCTGTCCTTTTGCTGTCAGTCTGTTGTCAGTCTGTTGTCACTCTCTTGTCAGTCTGTTGTCTGTGTGTTGTCTGTGTATTTTCAGTCTTCACATGGTGGCAGCTTGTTAGGAACTGTCTGTGTGTTTTCAGTGGTCTGGTTCCTGCTGCTCTGTCTACAGTCAGAAGTGTCACAAGCCGAATCATCTCTTCTGCAGGCTGCGGCTTCATGTCCTCTTTACGGTCGAACTCACTGCATCACTGCGGTCCTACAGAATTTGAACCCAGAGTGAGTTCTGCATCCACAACAAGAAGTTAGTCTGACTTTGGTGCTATCAGAACCAGCAGAGTAGGTTTCATAGCTTCCTCCCTCTCTGTGTTCTCAGGAATCTGAGTCAGATGGACCGATGGAGATTCCTGGTGTCAGAACTGATTTCTATCTGCTACAGAATCTCTGCCGTGGTGTCTCCTGTGGTCCAAAGCACGTCCCCAGAGGGACTCATCCCCATGGATGCTGACTCAGGTAATCTGATGAACACAGCCAACGCAGAAACATTCACGTATCTTTAAAACTTTTCATCCCGTTCAACTTCTGTTTCTGATCTTTGAGTCACTCCTTCTGCAGTTTTGGTGAAACTCAATGAAAACCTGCATCTCTTTCAGGAACACTGAGCTCTGACTGTTGGTATTAGAACTTCAGATGACAGACATTCAGTTCACTAAAAGCTGTAAAAATCACCTTTTGGGTGTGCAGCTCTGTTTTAACAGCAGAATCATCATTCAGATTTTAAACGGGTCACAGAACATTGGACTTTCCATGACGGCGCTGCCGTTTTCAGAACTTTAACTCTTTTTACACAAACACAGGTTAAGCTCTGCTTATTCCTGCATCTTTCTACTTCCTCGACAGTTCCTACATTAAATCAACAGCATTCTCTCAGCTTAGATTTTCACAAAAGAAGTCCTGAATTCTTGTTGGGCTTTACAGAAGAAATATGATAAATGTTGGAGTCTGTAGCTGCTTCTTTGGCCTTCAACCTTCCTGTAGAAGGTTTCTTCTTTATTGTCCTGTGGTAAATAAGTAAAACAACATTTATACAGTAATAGAGCAACAAGGACATGGTGACACCAATGATTGAAAGCTGTTGTAAAGTTTCAATAGAACATATTTCTAATGTTTTTGTGTTCATGGACAGACACATCATCAAGTCTGCAGAAGATTCTGCAGGAGATCCAACCCAGAGACACAAACAACTTCTTCAGCAATGTCAGAGAGCTGAACACGCATCAAGGAGGTGATCGCAGTCCGATCCAGACCCCAAATAGTCCGGTCCAGACCCCACAGCCTGCACCCATCAGCATAGGTACATTCACCCACCCCCAGCCCCTGTGTTGTTCTGCTTCTTATCACAGTGTCAGTTTGATCTTGAAGAGATGCACCTTTGTGTTTTAATCCAAGTGAATGTTGAGTTGTAAACCTGTTCAGACCAGCAGCAGTAGGTGTTCCAGCCCCATTCGGTTACAGACTCAGACACCCGGCAGGAACATCCAGCTGTAGGATCACACCTGGTACCTACCCTACATGTGCAAACACAATTCAGTCAGAAGATCAGCAGACAAATTCTTTCAGTTCCTGATCAATGTCCTCATTTAAACACAGAGCAGTCTACAGACTGACCTTTGCTGTCTTCAGGTAGTGAGGTCTTCGGGCTGACCTTTGACCTGTGGTGTCTTAAAGTAGTGAGGTCTTCAGTCTGACCTATGACCTGTTGTGTCTTCATGTAGTGAGGTCTACAGACTGACCTTTGACCTTTGCTGTCGTCATGTAGTGTGGTCTACAGACTGACCTTTGACCGGTGGTGTCTTCATGTAGTGTGGTCTGACCAAGATGGCGGCGTGTGAACAACGCAAGGCTCAGAGTCTCTCCAGAACATGCTATTTAGCGTTTTTCTACCTACTTTTGACCGGACTATTCATCCAGAATTGCTCAGCGTTGCTGTTCTACAGCAGACAGGAACTTCTGGACATCTGTACTCAAACCTCCGATAGTTTTGTTGCCGATCTCCGACTCATTCCAGAGATCTCCAGAACACCGGAGGCTGCTTACTCCTCCAGGCCGGGCGGAAGCACACACAGACTGCGCCGAGAACGTAAACATAGGCGAGGTAAGCACAGAGGACTACGGGCTAAGCTAAAACTTACACCACATCGGCTGCCCTTACCCAGTATTTTCCTCGCCAATGTCCGTTCTTTGACAAACAAAATGGATGAAATCTGGCTCTCCATCACCAACAACAGGCGGATTATGAACTCGAACGTCATGATTTTCACTGAAACATGGTTAAACAACAGCTGCCCGGACAATGCTATTGAGTTAGCAGGACGCCACACACACCGAGCCGACAGGATAACTGAGGACTCCGGCAAGACCAGAGGTGGAGGTTTGTGCATTTATATTAACAAAGCTTGGTGCACAGACTCTGCTGCTACCGAGAGACAATGCTCCCCTAATGTGGAGTTTATAACGGTCAGATGAAGACCTTATTACCTCCCCAGAGAACTCACTTCCATCATACTCACTGCAGTGTATATCCCCCTGGATGCTAATGCTAAGCTGGCTATGAAAGAACTTTATGCAGCCATTAGCAAACACCAGATCAAATACCCTGAGGCTGCTTTTATTGTTGCTGGTGACTTTTTATTGTTGCTGGTGACTTTAACCACTCCAACTTGAAGACAGTCC